GGGATGTCCTTCCACTTTTTTGTGTCATTTTCAATTTCTTTTTTTAGCTTCTCGTAGTTTTCCTTGTGGAGGTCATTAACTTCTATGGTTAGATTTATTCCTAAGTATCTTATACTTTTTGTGGGTATGGTAAATGGAATAACTTTTTTCATTTCAATCTCAGTCTGCCTGTTGTTCATATATAGAAATTCTATAGCTTTCTGTATATTGATTTTATATCCTGCAACTTTACTGTATTTGTGCATTACTTCCAGAAATTTTTTTCATGGAAACCATTGGTTCCTCTATGTATACAGTCATGTCATCTGCTAATAGAGAGAGGATCACCTCTTATTTTCCTATTTGAATGCCTTTTATTTTTTTCTCTTTTCTGAATGCATTGGCAAGGACTTCCAGTACTATGTTGAAAAGGACTGGAGAAAGTGGGCATCCTTGTCTCGTACCCATTTTTAGTGGGAAAGCTTTCAGCTTTCTCCATTCAGGATTATGTTCACAATGAGTTTTTCATAGATAGCTTTTATCGTGTTTAGAAATGAACCTTCTATGCCGATTTTGCTGCAAGTCTTGATCATGAAGGCATGTTGTATCTTATCAAATGCTTTTACTGCATCAATCGATATGATCATATGGTTTTTATCTTTATTCCTGTTAATATGGTGTATTACATTTATGGTTTTCCTTATGTTGAACCAACCTTTCATTTCTGGAATAAATTCAACCTGATCATGATGTATAATCTTTTTTATAAGTTGTTGGATACGATTTGCTAGTATCTTGTTGAGAATCTTTGCATCTATAGCAGAGATATTGGTCTGTAGTTTTCCTTCCTTGTCCTGTCTTTATCTGTTTTAAGGATAAAGTTGATAGAGATTTCATAGAATGAATTACGGAGAGATTCACCCTTTTGGATCTTTAGAAATAACTTGAGCAGAAGGGACATTAAGACTTTTTGAAAGTTTTATAAAATTCAGAGGTGAAGCCATCAGGTCCAGGGCTTTTCTTTGTTGGAAGGTTATTTATTACTGATTCAATCTCCTCACTTGTTTTGGGACTATTCAGACTTTCTATATCTTCCTGGCTCAATCTTGGTAGATTATATGTGTTCAGAAATTTGTCCATCTCATCGAGATTGTCTTGTTTCTTGGCATGTAGTTGTTCACAGTATCCTCTAATGATGTTTTGTAATTCTACTTTGTCTGTTGTTATATTGCCCGCTTCATTGCAGATTTGAATCATCTGGTTCCTTTCTCTCTTCTTCTTAATAAGTCTTGCTAGTGGTGTATCGATTTTGTTTATCTTTTTAAAGAACCAGCTTTTACTTTCATTTATTTTCTGTATAGTTCTCTTACTTTCTATTTAATTTATTTCTGCTCGTATCTTTATTATTTCCCTTCTTCTGGAGATTTTTGGATATTTTTGCTGTTGCTTTTCCAATTCTCTAAGGCTTGGTGTTAGGCAATCCATTTGCCTTCTTTCCATCTTCCTCTTATGTGCACTAATTGCTATGAACTTCCCTCTTATAACTGCTTTAGCAGTGTCCCAAAGATTATGGAAACTCGTGTCCTCATTGTCATTGGCTTCCATGAATCTTTTTATTTCAGTCTTTACTTCTTCAGTAGTTGTGGAAGCATTCAGGAGTAGATTGTTTAGTTTCCAGGTATTTGATTATTTTTGAGGATTTCTCTTGCAATTAAACTCAAGTTTAATTCCATCATGGTCAGAGAAGATGCTGGATATAGTTTCTATGCCTTTGAATCTGTAGAGGCTTGCTTTGTGCCCTATGATGTGTTCAATCTTTAAGAAGTTTCCATGTGGGGGTGAGAAAAAAGTGTATCTCGTGGGTTTTGGGTGAAAAGTTCTATAGATGTCTGTTAAGTCCATATCTTTTATGGTATTAGATCCCTTCTCTCTTTATCTATTTTTTGTCTAGATGATCTGTTCCAAGTGCATTCCAACAATTAGTATATTGCAGTCCATCTCCCCTTTTAGATCTAACAGTCTTTCGTTCACATACTTGGGTGCTCCTCTGTTAGGCGTGTAGATATTTTTAAGCATTATATCTACTTGAGCTATTGATCTTTTTACTACAATATATTGCCCTTCTTTTTCTCTTCAAACAGTTTTTGTTTTAAAGCCTATTTTGTCAGAAATTAGTATTGCAACTGCAACTTTTTATTGGTTCCCATTTGCATGGAAAAACCTTTTCCCAACCCTTCACTTTCAGTCTATGTATGTCTTTATCCATGAGGTAGGTTTCCTATAGGCAACAGAAAGAGGGTTTCTGAAGAGGGTTTTTGGTGTTTTTTTTTTTTTTTTTTTTTTTTTTTTCCATTCAGCCAGTCTTTGTCTCATGATTGGGGAATTTAATCAGACAAACAAAACCTGAACGAATTTGCCAACACCAGACCAGCTCTTCAAGGAACCCTAAAGAAAGTACTGTTCCAGGAAAACTAAGGAATTAAGAGACAGAAACAAAGGAATAAAAGGCAGCTAAGACAATGGCCAACTTAAAGTCAGGACAGGGCTGGTAACATCGATAATAACATTGAATGTGAATGGATTAAATTCTCCAATAAAGATTCCTTTTCTTAATTCTGGATTCAGTTGTTTCCCTGCATCCACTTTTCCTCTCTGATCTACTGAAGTCTTATCTCTCTCCCTGTCTGACTCTCTCTTCTATCTACGAACTAACTTTCCTTCCTGCCTGTTCAAAGTTCTGAATACAAGGCATGTGATGTTTTCTCTAAGTCTCAGGAATTTTTTTCTTCCAGCTTCACCATTCACCGCCTTGCTGCCAAGTCCTTGATCCAGGCCAAGGACATGGGCAGCGGGGAGACTCCGGCAAGTGATAAAAAAGACGTGTTGAACATCAGCATGGCATCTGGGGTCCTGAGCTCCTTCACGGCTTTCATCGCCATCAACAAGGAGCTCAACAAGCCCGTTCAGGGGCCCATGACACGTAGGGACATCCCGAGGCCCATGCTGTTGGGCGCGCGTGCTGCAATGTCAGCACCCTTATATCTCTGTGGTGAGTTCTGTCTTATTCAAATTCATAAAGTGTAAGAGATCCTGGAAATAGAATATTATTTAAAGAAAAATTTATAAAGTTGCTTTATTTTTCTTGTATTTCTACATGTAGGATTTTTGGCTACTATTAAAGTTCTTTGTTTTAAGGAAGTAGAATATATCCCAGTGGCTGGCAGGTTTAAAATAATTAAAAAGGAAAAATGTCAAAGAAACATTCAAACAGAATACAGTAAGCATTGAGTAATCAAACTGTCTAATCCTAGAACGAATTTATCTTCCTGATAACTGGATGATTAAAGATCACAAAGAGGGATCAGCAGATGGCATAATGGTTACATCATCCCTGCATACCCACGTAGTCAACTACGGTTAGAGCCACACCCAGCAGCTTAAAACTCATGCCAGGCACATGTGCATGTGTGCCCAAAATCCCAAGAGGAGAATGGAGGGGAAAGGAGTATGATGTGGCCATCCCCATGGGGGGTGTGGATATTTCTCACTTATTTTCTCTGTGTTTCTGGTGAGTGCACATACCTTATAGAAAAAATATCTTTAAAAAAAATCACGAATATTTCTGATGAACAGGGTTGTTAAGGAATGGGTATCAATTGCTAAGAATGTCACAGGCCTGAAATAAACTGAATGACTGTAGCAATTAAAAGCTTGAAGATCTGAGTCAGCTAAAGATATCTCCTGGACAGTATTCCACAGCTAGAGAAGGTATGATATGTATATTAGTTCTGGAGGAGGCTTCAAGGTGAGTCCTGTATCTTTCATGCATTTGTTTCTTACATGTTTTCCTGTTTCGGCACCTACCATATATTGGTTATTGCACTTATCACAGAAAATGCAGTAGTGAACAAAATACAATTTCTGCTCCCAGGGAGTGGGGGTGAGGAGAAAGGAGGGGTGGCAAACAGATGACCAGATTTTTAAGATGCTATAAGAAATATCACAACACGGATAAGCTCAACGTGTAAGACAGAAGGCAGGATAGGGATCAGTACAATCAAACACAGTAGGGAGGGAGTAGAAGTTAAAGAATTTTCCCCAAATAGGTGACATCTTACCTGAGATCTAATGGGTTAAGTAAGTTATCCAGGCAAGGAATGAGGAACAAAAGCATTATAAAGATCAGGAGCAGCATCTGAGGAGACCCAGACTTGTGTGTGCCCAAGATCCCGAGAGGAGAATGGAGGAGAAGGGATTGCGGCGTGGGCATCCCCCCTGGGGGGGTGATTTCTCGCTTTCTATCTCTCTGTCTCTGTCTGTCTGGCGAGCCCACATGCCCTATAGCAGAAAAAAAAAAATCAGAGATGACATATTATGGGCTTGAGGCTTGAGGTGGTCAAGTGATGTTGGTTAGGTTGAAAGAGTGACTATCCATATGATATTCAACTTATCAGGATGATAATACGACTGTGGAAGAAGCTCCATGAGCCAAGTCTCAAACTCTTAGATGAATGATGTGGAAAGACCAAGAGACTGGTGAATGACAGTGGTGATAATGATGGTAAATAACACTTGTGTGGGCTTACTCCATACTGGCCCTTCTTCTAAATACTTTTTATATCTTAGGTTAATTAAACCTCATAATAACCCTATATATTAGAAACTGTTATTAACTATTTTTATACTTAAGCATTAAAGAGTTTGAAATATATTTTAAGGGAGACTGAATGAATTACAGAAGGAGACTAATGTTATTGAGTGTTTATAATTATAACTTTCAGACCAATTTAGAGAATGACTTGAGAAGAAGCAATATTTCTAGAGAGACTAGATATAAATCTATTGCATCAAAGAGGAGAATGAAGAAGATTCAGCTGAGGCGACTAGATATAAATCTATTGCATCAAAGAGGAGGATGAAGAAGATTCAGCTGAGGCGTTATCAGGTAATATAAGAAAGAAAATGTGTGACAGCTTATACAGGATCAGTTTAGGGATTGATTGGATATAGAGGCAGTAAGTTACTAAGGATGATACCCAGATTTCTGGTTAAGCAACTGTATGGATGATGATATTATTTATTTAAATAGGGAAAAAGAACAGAAACAACTTGAGGTGGTAAAATGTTGAAATATTTTAGAGCACTTTGAACTTGAGATGCCTTTGGAATATCCATATAAGAATGGATATAGAAGAGTTTGGTGTTCAGGAGTGTATCAAAGATGAAGATAAACATGTGGTAATATTTAGTATCTAGATAATAACTAAGTCATAAGAATGGATGAGATTATACAGGGGTGGGTATAAAATGAACAGAAAGGAGAGTGAGGATGAAACCCTGAAGAATACATAGCATGTAATGGAAGGGCAGTAGAAGAGTCCACAAACAAAAATAAATATAATGAGTTAGGAAGAAAAGAAGTGAATGCATTTTCAAAGCTACAGGGAATTATGATAGAACAAAGGGAGTTATCAAACAATCAGATATTTTATAGAAGTCAAAGTAAAACTGGTAAGAGTTTGAGTTTGTGTCCAAAGACTCCCTACTGATCTTATAATGAGCAATTTCATTGGAGAGGTCAGGAGAGAATCTGCGTTATAGAGCATTACTGAGTAAATGAGGGGCAACATGTATAAACTTAAAAAAGATGTTAGGCTAGAAGGAGAAGAAATAGAGGGTAACAGTTGTAGAGGATGTTATAGAGTTGAGGCAGTTTTTTGTGTATTTTATGTCTTTAAAATCTTAGAATGGGAGAAAGTTGAAGAATGTTGCAATGATAAGAGGAAAGTGCCAATAGAGAGGGTTGAAAATACTAGGGCTGAGGTTGGGGGAGGAGGTAGCTATTGAGTCATCAGAAAATTATGCAAAAATGTATGCAAAAATGTGTCCTGACTTTTCCCATGACCTAATAACAGAGAGAGGTGTGGGAGGACTATCGCAGCAGTAGAAAGATCAGCCTCTGTAGGACAAATGCCTTCTCCCACTTTTTCCAGGAAATGGAAAAAATGTAATGATATTAGATTTCTAGTTTAGCCCAAAAGCCAAGGTTTTGGAGTTTCTATCTGATGCTTTTTCTATAGTTTTAGTGAGTTAGACATAAAGATTAACCAAAGAGCTTGAGAGTGGAAGCAACAGAATAGAGGATTTGAGGAGTGTAAAGGTTTAAAAGAACCAGTAGGATAATTGGGGAGTGGACTGCCCAGAGAGAAACAGAAACATCTGTCAAGGAGTGTTGAGGGGCTAGTTTAGATGGAATACCTTGACCTTTTTAGTTTATGTGATGTATTTTAGCAGTCTTCAGCAGCCTTGGTGCAAGAATGATGGTAGAGTACTGGCCTAACTTCAAGGTTGAGGTTTAACCAGAAGAATGTGTTGAAGGAAATTAGGGTCATGGACTTGGAGACATTGATAAAGGGGTGATAGGTGCTGGATATGAGACTGGGGCTGAACAGAGAGGGGAGCAAAGGTAGGAGGAGGTTAATGGGGGCGGGAGGGGGAGAAGAATTAAGGCCATACGGGCCCAGGTGAGGTCAGAGATCAGATAACATAGGAATCCCTGAGTTAGAAATCAGGAAAAATTTGAGATTGCATTTTAAAAATAGGATTTTTGTGTTCAGTTTAGTATTTTTCAAGTGAAACAATTCTGCACAACTGTGAGGTCCTTATGTCTTGGTAAGCTAAAGGAGAATGGAGCAGAAGCCACTGGATCTGCGGAAGTCAAGATGCTTTGCACTAAGACTTTGGATAGGCCGTCTCCATGGTGCTGAAGTCTCTCAAGGTGATGGAAGCCTTGCAGTGAATGGAAGCCTGTGATCTGGCTCTCAGATCCTTCAGTGGATGATGGGAGGTTGGAGGGTAAACATAGTCAGGACCTGCGGAAGGTAGTACAGTGAGGGTGGAAGAGTAATGGTCTGGATGCAGCATTACAGGAAGAGCTTGCCAACTCCACCTCCCAGCCTGAGTGCCTGGAGTGTGTACACTGAGCAGCAGCCATTTGAGAGGGGTAGGAGAGAACTGTTTTTGGAAGGAAAAAATAGTTTTAAGTTAAGACTTCTTCCTGAGAAAAAATAGTTTTAAGTTAAGACTTCTTCCTGAATTAAAACTAAAGGTGCAGGAAAGATTATTTAGCATGTGTCAGGAGTTTCAGAGCACACAGTAGAAGGTAGAAAAAAGTCTCAGAGAGTAAGGGGATATGCAGGAGATGGGCTCACGAGAAAAGGGTGGCACAGAAACCAGCAGATGGTGTAATGGTTACACTGCTGGACTCCCACATCATGATTCAGAGCCAAACCTGGCAGCTTAAAACTCATGTCAGGCATGAGTGCATGTGTGCCCAAGATCCCAGGAGGAGAATGGAGAAGGAATTGTGGCAAGGCCATCCCCCTGGGGGTAAGTTCTCTTTCTGTCTAGTGAGTATGCACTCCCTGTAGTAAAAATCTGAAAGGAAGGAAGGAAGGCAGGCAAGCAGGCACAAAGAGGTGACGGTGACGACAGAAGCAGATATGGGTGGGAGGGTTTGTGCCTCAAATTAGCAGGGCCATTCACCTACTGCAGAGAGCTTAGTGTGCCTCAGTCTCAATATTTGTTCTGGTATTTTTCAGGTCGTACACGGTCTTTGTTCTATACACCTCCTCCTGCACCCCAAAACAGAAGTGAAATTTTTTATTGTGCGAGCATGACATCTGAGCAAAATGATTATGAGCTCTGTAGACCAATGGCTTACAAGGATGTGTACGATCTAGGTAAGCATTTCTGCAGGACTTTTTCCACTAAAATTTGTCTGTCACACATATAGGACTAGTTCGTAGTAGCAGGAAACGGAAGAAATCCATGTGTCTCAGAGGCCCCCTCCCTGACGTGGGACTGTCTTATTTCCCCACGAGCAGGACCAGTGTGGAGCCTGAGCATGAGCCTGCAGGTAAGATGGGCCTCAGGTTGCTCCTCTGATCCATGCTCAGCTAAAGGGCTAATCTTCAGTGCTTTGCTCTCTTGTGGCTCCCTCTACCCAGGAATCTGTTTGGAAAACATTAGGTAGGAGGTGAGATTTGCCCAGTCCCTCTATTTGACAGGGACAGTGCAACCTCTACAATGTAGGGCCCTGAAATCTGCCACCCCAGGGGTCTGGGTGGCTTCTAGCTTAACACCCTTTGCCTTCTCAGATTACGCAGCTTGCCTGCAGGCTGGAACCTCACTCCACAGAAGTCAGCAGCCACCTTGTTTGGGCCCCTGTTCTCTTGGTCATCCTTCACAAGCTGGGTTTGAACACAGGTCTTTGGGATGCTGTCTGGTGACTTTCTTTCTGTGCCACTCTGCTGCAGCCTTTGCTGAGACTCAGGAACTTCTTTCAGGTATGCTAAGGGGCCAATAACACTGTCATTTTTCATTCACTTCCTTTTTTCTCTACAAAGACTTCGAAGAGAATGGTCTTGTGCAACTGATTTCCCTCCAAAATGCAAACGGTTCCTGGGATCTGAATGAAGATCTGGCGAAGGCCCTAGGGATGAGCTTGGAAGACATGAATGCTGCTTGTCCTGATGAAGTGAGTCATAAGGAAAAAAAGAAGCAAGAAGCACTTTGGGGTGTTTTATTGTTTTGTTTTTATTTTTAGATTTTTTTTGCTATAGGGCATGTGTACTCACCAGATAGAGACAGAGAGAGATAGCAAGAGAAAATGAGAAATCACCCTCCCTACCCAGTGGGAATGGCCATGCTGTAATCCCTTTTCCTCCATCCTCTTCTCAGGATTTTGGACATGCATACACATGCACTTGGCATGTTTTTTTAGGCCACTGGGTCTGAGACTTGAACCCACAGAGTTGGCCGAGTGGGATCCAGCACCTTAACTACCACACCACCTGCCTGCCAAAAACATGTATGACTTTGTTTTGAAGAGGTGAGGTCAGTTGTGAGAATTGAGACAAATCAGAGTCCACCTAAGAAAGGAGAATGTAAGGGTCAGAGGCAAAGTGAGTTTCTGACAGGTATTTTGAATTATGTTAGAGCAAGAGAACATGAAATTAATGGGCTAGCTAGTGGGAGTTGATGGTTTAGAGTGACAGCAAAGGGAAAGTAAAAAATCCTCTCCTACTTTAGTTATATTTCCTGTGACTCATCCTAATTATATAGCGGATATTAAGTGGTGATTAATCTGTGCCAGACACTGGCTAACACTTAGCCCTCATGACATTATTCATCCCTCACATCAATTAAATAAGGAAGATTCTATTCAAATAATGAAAAGGACAGTTTATAAACACTTGGAAGAGAACAGAGGATCACAGAGTTCTAGGTTAGATTCACTGAAGACAAAACATGTGAGAATGCCATTTCCTTCTCTGATATGGTAACCAGGCCAATAAACCAAGAGAACCTAGAGCTCTGGTCCATCTGGCAAAAACATGTATGACTTTGTTTTGAATAGGTGAGGACAGTTGTGAGAATTGAGACAAATCAGAGTCCACCTAAGAAAGGAGAATGTAAGGGTCAGAGGCAAAGTGAGTTTCTGACAGGTATTTTGAATTATGTTAGAGCAAGAGAACATGAAATTAATGGGCTAGCTAGTGGGAGTTGATGGTTTAGAGTGACAGCAAAGGGAAAGTAAAAATCCTCTCCTACTTTAGTTATATTTCCTGTGACTCATCCTAATTATATAGCGGATATTAAGTGGTGATTAATCTGTGCCAGACACTGGCTAACACTTAGCCCTCATGACATTATTCATCCCTCACATCAATTAAATAAGGAAGATTCTATTCAAATAATGAAAAGGACAGTTTATAAACACTTGGAAGAGAACAGAGGATCACAGAGTTCTAGGTTAGATTCACTGAAGACAAAACATGTGAGAATGCCATTTCCTTCTCTGATATGGTAACCAGGCCAATAAACCAAGAGAACCTAGAGCTCTGGTCCATCTGGACTTCTGTAAGGAATTTGGAATATTTTTATGATGACTGTATAGACTAAGTACAACTAATTGAACACCCATAACTCTGGAAAATGAATTGATTTTAAACTTTAAACAGATGTTTGAACCCACCAGGCTCTGAACTCTTTGGAGACCCAGATTCAGATGAAGATATAGACCAACACTTTCCTATTCGTTGGTGACAAAATGGAGAAATAAAGTATTAAAAAGAGAATAAGATCTCCAAAGACCTCCAAAAAACTTTGTAGGTATAAAAGTCAAGGACTATTTTTGGTTCCACATTCCCACCTGTGCAAGAGACAAGAGAAGCAGACTCCTGTCAGAGCAGTTGCACATGACAGTCAGAGGTATTAGATGCCTGGAAACATGTGAATCAGCATACTTGAAGGGAGCGCAGCGGGATGACCTGATAGCTACTGTATTCCTAGCCCATGACTGTAGAATTTAATAAGCACATTTACCTCCAGATGGGACCACTTAAAAGAGACATATTTTAAAAATCATCATGATACTTTCTCTTGGACTAGGCAAGTCCAAGAGATTCTCAATGATGTGATGTAAACGGTCTAAGAGAGAATGAAAAGAACTTAGAAATTTAATCTGAAACAAGGCTACCCAGAGGGAACATGAGAGCTGTTTCTAAATTATATTTATATTGTTAAATTGATGTATTATTTTCAGTTTGTTGATTTATTCCTTCCATGGAGAGAGGGCTCCTAGTGGGGTCTTGGTGTTATGATCCAGCCACCGCCATCCTGGAGCACTGGCAGGTGCACACATCCTGCACATATGGGAAGTCCCTGCAGTGTTCCCTCGGACCTGTTTGCAGATTTCAAAGGCCATGATATAAAAGAGGAATTTCCCTTGGTCTGCAGGGAAATCTCAGAACTGAAGCTGGGAACAGTGGGTAAAAACTCAGGAGAGACTGTTTTCTGCTCTTGGGCTAGGATTTTTCTATTGAGTAATCCTTGTAGTATGACTAAAATCCAAATATCTGGTCTTTAGTTCCACTCCCATCATTTGCTAGAAGACTAAATTTGGCCAAATCATTTCAGTTTTGTATGAATCCGCTTTTAGTATTTCCTTGTTTTGTTTTGTTTGTTTGTTTTTAATGAGGGTTCACATAAAAATTGTAAACTCCCTCTATAAAATGCAAAGCGGCTGTGTATGTGTCCTGCCACAGCTGGGTAGTTCTTGGTCACCATGCTCTAAGGGTTTCTATTACTCTCCTGGTAGTTCTACTGGACTTGACCTTTAAGAACCTCCCACCCTCAAACTCAGTGTATTGTCACAGTGGGGTCTAAGACCTGGCACTATGCCTTGCACACAGATGGTGGTCAAGAGAAAATGGGTAAGTCCATTTAGAAGTTTGGGGGCTGGTAAGTGAGGAGGGAGTGAAGCTGTCTGCCTCCCTGAGGGGCTCCTGTTCCAACTGGAGGCTTCAGGGAAGTCTCTCCCTGTCACAGTGTGTGGATTCTTCAGACTGGGCCACTGTC